CTGGGATCTTTTAGCATCCACTCCTTTTTGAAAATATTTTACTTACATTTTTGTTTTATGTGTATGAGTATATTGAAGTAAGTGCATCTGTGTTGTGCGATGCCCTTGGAGGTCAGAAGAGGACCTCTGATCAGAGTTACAGATGGTTGTTAGCAGCCATTTGGCTGCTGGGAATTGAACCCTGGTCCTCCACAAGAGCAGCCAGTGCTCTTAATTGCTGAGTCATCTCTCCAACCTAAGCATCCATTCCTTTGTGAGAGGTCAGGTGGAATAGTGGTTAGCGGCATGCCTGGAGCCACATCCTCGGCCTTCCGGCTCTATTTTCCTGTTATGCCCTGGGGCAAGTTGTTTAAGGATTCTCTACCTTAGTTTCCTTCATTTGTATAATGAGAATAGCTAACTGCTCATGTTTCTGCTTTTATTGTTGTAGTTTTTTGTAAGTAGAAGTACTAGGACCTCAAAGAAGGCTGTTTTGCCTGAAGCCAACAATCTACTAGCAACACATGCTTGACTAGAGCTGGTGACCCAGGGCCCCTGCTCTTCTTGCAGAACAGGGAAAGTGGGAAGGCGTGACCTGTGTCTCAGATTTCCCTTTGGCCTGGTGCCCACCCTGCCTTTCTGTCTCCCAGTGAGGTCACCACTTGCACCCATTCCTGCTACCTGGCATTCTGGGAATTTGCCCCACCTGAAGGGCAGAGATCTTTTGATCCTTGGGGTGGGCCTCACGTGGTATGTCTGAGTCTGTCCTGGGCACACTGGGCTTCGGCTAGAATGGGTTCTTTCATCCCTCCCTGCTTGCTGTAGGACTTTCTGGAGAAAGGGAGGCACCCAGATCTGGCGAATAGTATCGTTGGAACCACAGGCAGGATGTGGGCTACAGCTCATGGTACAGGGAAAACCTAAGTGGTGTGTGGTATTACTGTGGTCTTGCTAGTGGCCACAGCTTTAGAGAGTGAGTGGTCAGCCTGTCTGGGGATCCTGCAGGAAGAACTTCTGTTGTGTGGGGGTGCTGCTTTCTCCCAATCCAGGGACCTCATCTGTCTTACTAAGTGTGTTGACAGCTCCCAGTTTCTCTCCCATCACTGTCATGAGTAGTATGTAGCCATGCATGGAAGACACCCGATTAAATTCCAAACTCCTCAGCCCAATTCTGGGCCTCTCCTTCCCATGGTCTGGTTCCAACCTGCCTTTCTTCCATCCAGCTTCAGCTGACCACATAATGGTCCAGTCACTCTCTGAGTCTTGGCTGGTGCTACCCTTCTCCCCATATTTTCCTGAGGCATCCCTTCTCACTATGCCCCAGTCACATGATCCTGTTTGCCAGATAACCTAACGTATCCACATGGTCCTATTTCCCCAAATACCCCCACATGCCATGTGCCCTACAGCCAGTTGCCCCCCCCCCAATGCCTGTCTTGCCTTCTGTTTTCCCCAGACTAATATAGGCCAACAAAAGCAAATAGTTTAGAAGGAACTATAGTGACAGTTCTGGGCTTGGTGCATTGTCCTTGTTTTCTAGTTATAGCTTGAGTGGCCTCTACTCTGGCCACCCTCTCCCTTGGAGTTGTGGATCTTTACATACTGTGCCCACCCCCCCGGCTTGTTGGAGGAGAAGCAGACTTGGTGCTACAGTCTCTTTCACCCAGCCTGAGGAACTTAGGTATCACTATCATGGTAGAATTCCATCAAATACATAATGGGATTTCACTAGTCCTTTCGCCCTCAGAAACAACAGGTGTGTTGACTGGGGTTGTAGCTTAGTACTCGAGTGTTTGCGTAGTGTGCACAAGGCCCATGGTTTATTGTGTAGCGTAGCAAGCAAAATAATAACTAAACTAGCAGTATCCCCTAAAACACGCCCCCAGTGAGTCCTGGAGGTTTCAGGATTGTTTCTCGAGGTGAGCGTAGGGTGTTAGGATTCTTTGTGGTCTGTCCCCAGAGGCAACTGGGAAGGCAGGTTTATGGACCAATGGACTGTAACTGTTCTGAAAATGTGTGTTTCACACACTGGGAAGCATGTGAAAAGGCAGAAGAATCTTTGTGGTTTCTGTTTGAATGCACCATTTTTCAGTTGCCTTCCAAAACATGAATTACAGCAAAGCGTATTGGCTGATGTATATGAAAGCACCCGAGTGAAACCCATTACTTTGTACACTAATTTTTTAAAAAAGCAAAGCATGATTTGGAATTCAGAGTTTATGCATGAATTTGGTGTGCTAAGAGCACACATCACGGTTCCCCTTACAGGATTTCTTGCATTGCTTCACTCTTGGTTAGGCGTATGTTGAAATGATGCTGGGTAGTTGTCTGCCTTATGTTTCATTGGAGATGATTGTTACACAGATTTCAAAGAACCAGGATGTGACCATCAAAAGCTCTGTTAAGAGTCTGTCTTCTGTAAAGGAGGATAAAAAGGGTGCAGGTTCTAAATTAGGAATGCTGGTGAGTTAGGAATGCTGGTGGATTAGGGGTGCTGGTGGGTTGGGGTGCTTGCAGACTAGAGATGTTGGTGGGTAGAGATGCTGGTGGATTTAGGGTGCTGGTGAGTTAGGGATGCTGGCAGGCTAGGAATGCTGGTGATTAGGGATACTGGTAGGTTAAGGATGCTGATAGGTTAGGGGTGCTAGTGAGTTAGGGATGTTGGTTGATTAAGGATGCTGGTGGGTTAGAGGTGTTGGTGGGATGGGGTGTTGGCAGGTTAGGGGTACTAGCAGACTAGTGATGCTGGCGGGTTAGGGATGCTGGTGGGTTAAGGATGTTTACAGGTTAGGGGTGCTAGTGAGTTAGGGCTGGTGGTAGTTTTGAGCCCAAGTCTGAGGGCCTCACTGTATGAGGTGCTCCTTCATGTATTTTGGGATTCTGTATCTGTAATGTGTACCTCCTATGGATTCTAGAAGGAGGGACACAGCTCTCCAAAACCTGGGTGAGGAGGTGGCTTTATCCTGGAAGACAGTTTCCCACAAAACATTTGGCTGGGGAAGCCTTTCTCCTGGCCTTCCTGGTCTTGGGCTGTGATTTGTGGAGTTACCGGTATGTCAGGGGGAGGATTTGCCTTGGGAATGAGCTCCTTGGCCCCATCCTCTGTGTTGTGGGTGACTGTTGATGGAAGCTGGTCTTGTGTGTCTTCAGTGTGGCCCTAGCCCTCAGTGTGGAGGGAACATGAGGCAGGACACCAGCTGAGTATGCTGGGGTTGGGGGTTGAGGGGCTAGTGGCCAGAGCTTATACACTGGGAAGGAGCAGGGCATTGAAAATTAATGGTCTTAGTAACACATCTGGTGCTGGTGCTGCTTGGGGACAGCTGGGCTGACAGGTTAGAATGGAACTTTCCAGTGTGTTTCAGATTCCCAAGAAGACTCTGGTGGTGGAGACCACTGTTGTTTGGCAGTTTTCTAGCACTTCCTGGGAACCTTCCCTTTGGGAGATGTCTGGAACACAGAGTGTTGGGCAGCCTTAGCTCAGCTCTAGTCCCCAGGATAGTTGTGTGTATATATGTTCACAGGAAGACCTGGAAGCCTGTGCCCTGCCCTGTTTCCCCACCTGCTGAGTAGATAAAATGTTTTCGTGAGAAACTGAAAAGAGAGGTTGAGAGTCACTAACTGCTCTGGGTCAGGCCGGGAGTCAGTGGCTCAGTGATGACATGGTGGTGCCTGGGCTGAGCCTCCTGTTCTGGGCAGGATCCTCAGAGAGTTCTGCGGCCCCTTCCCAAGCTCCCTTTCTTCCCCTGGGGACTGGACCCAGCTCCCACTCATCATCCATTAGATACTGGGCAAAGTGCTTTCCTTCTGGGGTTCCAGTTCCCCATCTGAAAAGACAGGACCAAGCTCTGTGGTCACTTTGCTTCATGTAGCTCCAGTTATATGATCCGAGAGCTCACCTGGGGCACCTCCCACATTTTCCACTCTCCCTCCTCCTCCCTCCCCTGGGTAAGAGAACAGGTCTGAGGGAGGAGGCAGGTCTACCTGTATTGTCATCTTGGAGGAGGGTTTGACCAAACTATTGGCTTCTCTCCTGCTAGTCTGCTGGAAGCTTATGGAGGGTGCCTGTGTGCTCCTAGGTCCTGGGTCCTGGGTCCTGGGTCCTGAGGCGATTTGCACAGGCCACACGCTGAGAAGTGGAGCTAGGCCAGAGCCCTAGTACGTGTTGCTATTTGCTGCCCCCTTGAGAGTGAACTGCAGTAGTGCAGATGGGTGTGGAAGGAGGCTGGAGCAAGCACAGCAGCAGAGGAAGGTCTCTTCCTATTGGCCACCCCTGTCACCCACAGGCACCTGCTACTTGTCTCCAGGCTGCTCCCCACTGACAGGCCTGCCCTCTGTCCTCTATCAGAGTGCTAGAGGGTCCCTGACACGTGTGCTCCATGCGTTTCCTGCCTCAAAAGGTTTGCACATTGGCTCCAGCTGCATTTTCACAAGTGCACTGGACCAAGTAAACTGGTTATTAAATGCAAAGGGCTTGTGCTGCCAAAGACACATGTTTAGGAAGTGTCTTGTTAAAACTAGTTAAACAGGTTTCTTTCCTGAAGGGCTTCCCAGAGCCTTCCACAGGCTGATGTGCCTGATGAGTTCCAAGAGGGAGAATTATGACATGGAGTCTGAGTGTAAGGAAAGAGGAGAGTCAGCCAGCAGGCAGCCCCAGCTAACGCAGGAACTGGAATCTAGATGGGCTAGCAAGAAGGCTTAGCCTGTGAGAGCCTGAGGACCCAAGTTCCAGGAAGGAGAGAACCAATTCTTGCAAGTTGTCCTTTGACCTGTGCATGTGTGCCATGGCACATGTACATGCACAAACATATACAAACACACCCAAATAAATATTAAAAAAAAAACTGAGCTGGGAAATGTGATTTGGGGTATTTTCTGGTGTGTGTGGGGGGGCAGGGGTGGGTTTCAATATGTTTTCCTCAACAAGGAACCCAGGGAACTGACTTTCTTCCATCTCTTTGGGCCTCCTTCTTGCCATTCTAATGAACTCACATATATAATTTTGTCTTCTTGCCCTCCTGCAGACACGAATGCAGAGTTTGAATCCAGATCCCAAAGCCCAGTATACAAGTATCTATGGAGCCCTCAAGAAAATAATGCACACGGAAGGCTTCTGGAGGCCTTTGAGGGGCCTGAACGTGATGATAATGGGTGCGGGGCCAGCTCACGCCATGTATTTTGCCTGCTATGAAAACATGAAAAGGACTTTAAATGACGTTTTCGGCCATCAAGGAAACAGCCACCTAGCCAATGGTATTTTGAAAGCGTTTGTCTGGAGTTAGCAGGCTCTCCTCTTCAGCACTTGCTTCCTGGGGCTTCCTCCCCGGGACCCAACAGCCTTCATCTGCAGCAGCTACTCATGAACAGAGAACTCTAGGGTCACGTGAATGCACACACATGCAATTGCACATATCTGCACCCACACATATACACACATTTATCGAGTTCCCTCTTTTGTTGGGGGAAGTTGGTGGTAGAGATGTTTTGGTATTATTGTATGGGCTCTTCCGTTTTTGCTTTAAAAAAGACACTCAAAAACAATTAATGAGCATTCATAGGAAAAAAAAAATCTTTTGAATGCCGGATTCAAAAAAAAAAAAAAAAGGACTGCTTCTTTGAGACTATTTAAAAACTGGTACAGCAGGTCTCTACAACGCCAGGATCTAACTAAGCTTTGAAAGGTCAAGATGTTTATGGCTCACAGGACTTGTGCCACTGCGGACAGCCTTCCCCACTTTAAGCTGCAGGAGATTCGGGCCTTTGACCCACCCAGCCTCCTCCGTGTGTCTGAGTCGCATCTTTCTGCAAGCCAGGGCTGAACTAGTTTCCTGTGGTTGATTCAGGGAGGGCGGGTGGGAGTTGGGAAGCTCTTACGTAGGGTGAAAGTCACTGGGCCAGGCTCAGTGGTAGCATGGGGTGGGATTTTCATGGGCTTTTGGAGGGTGTAGAATGGGAATATGGAGAGCCGTGTAAGGTAGTTTATTTTGGCAAAATTCTTTTTCCCAACAGTGGAGGAGTGGACATAACCAGTGGTAACTTTCTCCCTTGCTTTCTGTTCTACCCAGAACCAAATAGCATCCCCTCCCATCAGCCAGCCTTGGAAGTAAGGCTACCTGGGTGCTTTGTACACATTTCCTTGGCTTTTAAACTGGTGGCCATTCGTTGTATGTATTGATTGCACTGGTCACCAAGAGCCATACCTTCATGCTCCCCGGAGCTAGTGACATCCAGGTCTTCCTTTCTTTCAAACTGCCTTCTGCAATAGTTTGACTCCTTGAAGGAGGTTTGACAAAACCTAATTCACCTAGTGCCTGGCCAGGTCCCTGTAGCATTGTGCAAAATGCTGTGGTTGTATTTGATCTTTCCAGGGATAATCATGTGAGGGGGTGGGTACACCAGGGATGCTAGGTGCCTTCCTAAGGAGTTGGCCTGCTGTCTGTCCCTCAGAGCTCCCACCTTCCACTGGTAATTAGCAGGCAGTAGAACCTCTGGGAGGAAAATAGGAGTCAGGAGGCAGATATCCCAAGGCCCACTCAGGCTTTTGAAGCAAGCCTAAGGGAGACCTCAGATGGACTTGTTCATCCACGAGGCCAGCCGTAACTTTGCCAGCACACCGTGGCAATGGTCAGACACTGAGCTTCCTCACCTCTTGCCCATTTTCTTCAAAGTGCTTGGATTTCAACTAATTACTTTTTATGAACCAGTCCTCCCAACCTCTAGCCCTGTGCTTGAGATCAACCAGCCTCTTTGCTCATCTCAGCCTATGGGCCCGGAGAGCTGATCTGTACACAAAGGGCAAAGGAGAATTAAAATCCAGGCAATGGGAAAGCCCTGAAGTGTGGTTTCTGGGGCCCCTCCAACACTAGAAGGCAGAACCTTTTCCCATTGTTGATCTACAAGAAAGAAAAGGTCTCTGTGAGGTTTAGACATGAGTAACAGTGCTCTGTCAGCGTCTCCAATTTCTGCTCAGCATTTCCACCGTCACTGTGGGCTTTTAAAATCTGTGCTCACCTGGGTTGAACTGCTAGTCAATTTTGAGTCTTACAAAGCTAAGTCCAGAACTCATGTAACTGTAAGTTCCAGGAACTTCCTAGAACACTAGGTGTCAGAGGGTAATTTTCTGGAGTTTGTTTTACAGGGATAGCTGGGAGTATGGCAACTCTGCTCCATGATGCAGTAATGAATCCGGCAGAAGGTAATGTTCTATGGCTCCAGGGAGGGATGGTAGGGGAGAGGCAGAGAGGCAGCAGGAGTTGGGCACAGAAGGTGGGTAACCGCTGGTGGCCCTACCAGAGCCAGTGAGAGGATTGCATTCTTTATACGTTATTGAAGCCTTCAAAAAAAAAAGTCAGGGAGCAGTTGGGCATGATGGCACACTCCTTTAATCCCAGCACTCAGGAGACAGAGGCAGGCAGATACCTCTGAGATTGAGGCCAGCCTGGTTTACACAGTGAGTTCCAGGCCAGCTGGGGCTATGAGGAGACCCTGTCTCAAATAATAACTACCTGCTGCATCCTGGGGTAGGGATGAGCCGGTAGGAGTGCTAGTCTTTGGGCTCACTGAGGCAAAATATCTGGGCATAGATGGGACCTGCATTCTGAGAACCAGCTCTCCTGAGTGTTCTTCTATGTGCTTCTCACTACTATAAAACGTGTGTGTGTGTGTGTGTGTGTGTGTGTGTGTGCGCGCACGCGCGCGCTCGTGCATGTGTGTAATGCACATACATATATATCTGAGTCTAATAATCTTTACCAATCATAGATTTAAAAGGGAACCTGTCACAGCCCCATTCATTGTGGATTATATCCCTTCTCTTTTTCCTCTTCCCTTCCCCCTCCTCTCTCTCTTGAGATAGTCTCACTGTGACCTCTGGATTATGGGCCCCGCCACTCTGCTAGCTGTCAGAGTCCTGTTATGTAACCCAGGCTGGCCTGGAACTCTATGAGGCCCAGGCTGGCCCTGAACTCCAGATCTTCCTGCCCCAACCTCCTGAGTACTGAGATTATAGGCATGGATCACCACACCCAACCTAAATTTGCTCTTTTCTTAATTTGTAACGATTATGGAAATTTCAAGTGAAAGTCAAAGAATAAACTTTGTGTACTTCAGAAACTGACATAGCCATTTTTTTGGACTATGTTTTCTTACTTCTTTTGAATCTTGGGACTCCCCTTATAAAATGGAGCAGTATTCATGTATAACCCATCTGCATTATATAGACATTTTTTTTTTTTTTCTTAGAACAGTTGATGCACAGCTCGTTGACTCTGTATTTCCAGAACCATGGTACAGAGGGGCTGGCTGTATATATCTGGGCTTTTTCTAAAGGCACTTCATAGGACTTGGTTAGTGACCAGTTACTTGGCCAGTGTTAAGGATTTTATTATTGTTGTTATTATTTTGAGACAAGGTTCACTGTGTAGCCCAGGCTGGCCTTGAACTCTGTCCTCTTGCTTCAGCCTTCAAAGTGCTGGGAATAGGCAAATTCTACCATACTTGGCTGTTTATACTTTTTTAAAGGGTTTACATGAGGCTCAACTCAGTTTCCCCTCCTTGGCATTATTGTTGACTCATAGTATTTTTTTTTAATTAAAAAATATATTTTATTATTTTTGCTTTATGCATATGAGTATATATTGCCTGCATGTATGTGAGTGCACCCGTGTCGTGCAATGCCGCGTAAGTCAGAAGAGGGTTTCAGATTCCCCAGGAACTGGAGTTCATAGCCACCATGTGGGTGCTGGGAATTGAACCTGGGTCCTCTGTAAGAGCAGTCAGTGCTCTTAACCGCTGAGCCATCTCTCCAACCCCTGACTCATGGTCTTTAAACATGGAGCACAGCCTATGGCAGCATATGGGTTCTGCTCTGGTCCTGTGAATCACCACTGTTTTCTTTTGTCTTAACAAAGCCAGGGGGTGTCATAGAAGTTGGCATGGTGCCATCCCAGGTGCACCATGATACAGAAGTTAAAATCAGAACTGGCAAATTCCTGAGAAGTTGTTAGGGACACTCAATAGATGGGGGAAGGACAGAACAGGGGATAGAGGGATTTGAGAGGAGTGTGAAAGGCTATTGGTAAAGGGGTCCTGGGGGGAATCAGATCAGCTAATCTAGCCTGAAGTGACTGCCTAGCATGGGGGTCACCCCACTCAGGAGACAGGAGATACTTGGAAGCATCCACTTTCCTGGCACAGGGTCTTGAAGGTAGAAATGAAAGGAAGCTTGAGGTAGCTGCTTGGAGCTGGCCCTCCATGGCTTCCAGGCTGGGGCTGTGTGTGTGCTATATTGTTAACTGTCACTAGTGTGTCTAACATGCTTGTTTCTCTTTATTGGTTGGTTCCTGTTTCACTCCAACCTGGGGTGGGGCCAAACCAACCCACCTGTTTTCCGGTTGTCCATCCCCTGCCCTGGACACAGTGGTGAAACAACGCTTACAGATGTACAACTCGCAGCACCAGTCAGCTCTCAACTGCATCCGGATGGTGTGGCGGACCGAGGGGTTGGGGGCCTTCTACCGGAGCTATACCACGCAGCTGACTATGAACATACCCTTCCAGTCCATCCACTTCATCACCTATGAGTTCCTACAGGAGCAGGTCAACCCTCGCCGGGACTACAACCCGCAGTCTCACATCATCTCAGGAGGGCTGGCCGGTGCACTGGCCGCGGCCGCCACCACCCCACTGGACGTCTGCAAGACCCTCCTCAACACTCAGGACAACACGGCTCTCTCCCTGGCCAACATCAGTGGCCGGCTGTCGGGCATGGCTAATGCCTTCCGGACAGTGTACCAGCTCAATGGTCTAGCCGGCTACTTTAAAGGTATCCAACCTCGTGTCATCTACCAGATGCCTTCCACCGCCATTTCCTGGTCCGTGTATGAATTCTTCAAGTACTTCCTCACCAAGCGCCAGCTGGAGAATCGAACTCTGTACTAAAGGAACAGGCAGTGGGAAGTGGTTCCAGCATCTTTTGTTCCTGCCTCATCCCCTCCGTCCTCACACTGAGATCCTGTCGTGCAGGGTGCTGTGCCAGGGGTCCTTTGTTCCCTGGTGCCTTAGATAAAGGAGGACCGGGCCTCCACTGACCAGAAGGCTGTCTGTGGGGACAATCTGAGGTAGTGGTAGGAGGGAAAAACTTAGGAAGGAGAGTGAGAAGTGGCATTTGCAGAGGAATGTAGCTTTTCTGCCTCACTGTGACATTCTCCTTCCTAGATCTTAGATCACACCACAGGGGGAAGAAGGGCAGCAGTGAGCACATAAAGAGTGAGTTTATGTATATAAAAATACCATTGCCCAGTCTAACATAGGTGGATAATGTTTATCCTTTATTTTTCTACATAGAGATTTTTGAAATTGTGTGTGTACTTGTGTGTCCATAAATAGTATGATTTGGAATGATCAACCTGTATTTAAAAAATAAGAGGGTTGTATTCCTTCCATTGTGTGAAGTTAAAAAAAAAAAAAAAAAAGGAAAACAGGCATCAAAGTAGTAAATGGCCTTTGTGGCCTGAAATTGTGTGGAACCCCCGCTCCCCGGATGGAAAATTTAACTTGAATGTAAAATAATAAATACTGTTTATATTTTGAACTTCTTTTCATCGGGGAAAAAGGTACATTGAGAACAAATCAAAATAATCTATGACTTTGAACTATTTTTTTTTTAAATGCAGTCACCTTCCTGTGCCTTTCCCTTTGTTTCCTAAAAATTCCAGGACAACAAATTGGGGTTCCGGAGCATTTTCCTCCTGCTGTGGACACACACATACAGTACTAGGCAGCAAAAGCTGCCTACACTGTAAAGTGGGGGTCTCAGTAGAATTAGGATGGCCGGCCTTAAGCTTGCTGTGGTATTTCCTTGTGAGTGGTGTGTATGCCTCCTTAGCATTTAGAAGCCCTGGATTTACCACCACTTGGCTACTGATTGAGTGAGGCTGTGAGATAAAGCCTGCCTCTCAGGACTTCTCTGTCAACCCCGTTCTCAGGCACTTCAAGTAACTTGGTCTGTGTGTGTTTTTACCAAGTTTCCTCCTAATCCTTTCCCCTTTCAGTCTGGAGATTTTGAAAAACATGGTTAGAATATTTCTGGCACTTGTCTATCTCCCCATCCTGTTCTAGCCATTTAGCTCTCCCATCCACAGCCTCTTATAGCACTGTGAGGCCAGTCCTCCAACTGGGACTCTACTGCTGATGCCTGGTGTTGACCCCTGGGCCTCTCCACAGCCTGTCTGTCTAGTCTGCATCACCTGAGAACATACCACAGCCTCTTTGCTTTGTTTTCTGAAATGGAGCCAGATTATCGATAAGAGAAAATACAAACCTGCATCCTCCATCTCTGCCACACTCCGAGGTCAGAATGGTCTGCTTCCCCTTCCCAGCCTATCAACGAGTAGGAAGCACACAGCTGTTTTCACTTTGGTGGGTCTCCAGCTGCCACCATAGCTGTGGTTGATGTGCTTCCTCTTGGACCTCTGGTTCCTATGGATGGTGTGGTTGCTTGGGGAGCTCAGCTTGGACTTGGGGGAGTTTTCATCTTGGGACCATGCACCCAGTGCTTGGGCATAAGGTTTTGTTTTTGTCCTAATGGCTGTGAGAAATTACATGATGAAACTGTCAGTTGATTTCTTTTTCCAGATCAAAGCGATTCTGTATACTCCACAAGGGATTTGGGGTTAGCTCCTGACTGTCCTGTCTTAGGGTGACATCTTTCTTTCACTTCTGTGGAAACCGATTTCAGCAGACTTCTGTGCACAGCTTTGGTGACCCCTATCACCACCAAAAATGTTTGTTTCTACTCGCCCTGCCTGGATTGTGTTGAATAATGCTAAATTTGTGAAGGGGGGCAGGGGCGGGGATCAAATCGTAGAGTCTAAAGTAAAATTTAAAACAACTCCTAGAAAACATTCCTACCATTCCTTTGGGTTCATTGGTGTAGACTAGACTGTTGCAAACACAGAGTTTCCTCTAGGGTTTTGTTCCCAGTGATATACTTCAGGAATAGTTCCTTTGGTCATGTAAGATGGAGCTCTGTGAACTTGAAGCCCAGGGATCTATCTCATTGTGACTTTCCCCTCCCTGAGATGATGGATGGATAGGGTGGGGGCAGCTTTCCATTCTTCCTTCCCACCTGGTCATTTTGAGGCTGAGTGATGTATCTGAAAAAGCTTTTTAAAGTTGTGAAGCACTGAACAGAAATATTTGTTAATTCTGTGGCCACTAATTTTTTCTTCTCACTCTTAGCTCCAAAGCTAGTATTATCCTTGCCCATGTGTTCATTGTGATTTTGACACTGCAGAGTTCAAGTAGGAGGGAAAGTAGTATCCCAGCCCAGAGACTCACTTAATAGCATCATGACTTATCTTGAACCTTGGCATCTTTGGAGTGATATCCATAGGTGTGCCATACCACCTGGGTACAGTGCTAATTCTTTAGGGGTGTGTGTGTGTGTGTGTGTGTGCGCGCGCGCACTGTTCAGGCCAAGTAAGGCTCAACCACTTGTAGATAGATAATTTATTATAGAATGAAACATTGATTTCAAATGAGATCTTCTCAACCCATGACTATTTTAAAATTTTAGATTAAATACAGCTACTGGCCTACTTCACTGTGCAGTCTTTGGGGTCTGTCTCATTTTAAGCATTCTCTTCTAATGTCACCCTAGAGCTCTGTCTCCAACACACTGCTATGTCAGTAAGGTTTTATTTAACATGATTTAAGGATAATTGTGTCTGTGAACTACAAATGTACTGCTGCTTTCTGCCTGCCAGTCACACAGTGTGTGGGGGATAAGGGTGATGTGTTACTTCCTGAATATCTTAAAATGCCTATGGTCAAGACTGTTTCTGTCCTGTATATGCTGCAGGCGCTTTGAGGATGGGGAGCAGTGTGTGTTCATGTGTGGGGATGTTTGATATTGCTGCTACAGTTGTTAACACTGGAGCTGGGGGAAATAAAGCATTGATTTTGAAAGTGTTGTGGGTTCTTTGTGGGAGTTCAGAAGTGACAGGAGAGTGGCACAGAGGAGACATCACTGGCTGTGCCTATTCCATGAAAGAGATGGGAGGACAGCTTGGTTCCCAGCCACATTGGAAGCAAATCACCACCCTACCAGTAGGAGGCACTCGTGTGCTCACCAGGCTGGACTAGGGGTCTCCTGCTTGCTTTGAACACCAGCCTGCAAAGGTGGCAATCTCTCTCGGAATGTGGTGGAACTGCATAGAGCTCCTAAGAACATGCTGGACCTATACTGTTTTCTCATGCGTTTGTAGAGTTTCCATCAGGGCCCCCTTACAGAGAAGGCCCCTAGTGATCAGAATTCATGCTTCCTACACACAGCCGAAACCAGAGGCTAGAACTCTTCCTAGAGGTGTGAGCGAGGAAGCCTGAGAGGAATGTATTTTCTTTGACTCTACCCACAGAGTCAAATCAGACACCTGCTCGGTATGACTGCTGAACCCCAGCAAAAGTACAGTGTCAGCAATACAAATGCCAGAGGGTGTTTGAGAGCAACTTCCTGCCTTGTCATTGTAGACAGGCAACTCTGAGCTATTCGAAATTCCTCTGCTCTTTGAGCTGCTGCATTTTGGTGGAGGTGGGTGGTAGGTGTGGCCTGTGTTCAGTGTCTCTCCATCCAATGCATCCCTCCTCTCTGCTAGGAAAACTAAGCCAGCAAATATTTGGTACCTGCCATGAACAGAACTCCATGCGTGAGGAAGTGTTAAGATATGGTCCCTACCTCAAAGACCATACAGCCTCGTAGAGTACAAAGTGAGCAAGGCCTGGTGGTGCAGGCCTATAATCCCAGCTACCTGGGATGCTGAGGCAAGAGATTGCAAACTCAAGGCCAGCCTGGGCTAAAAAGTGAATTCAGAGCTTGCCCGGGCAACTTACTGAAACCTTTTCCTCAGTTTTTTTTTTTTTTAAAGGCGCAGTAGTGGGTGTTGAAGTAATGGCTCAGCGGTTAAAAGTGCAAATTGTGCAATTGTTCTTGTAGAGGACCCGAGTTTAGTTCCCAGCACCCGTATCTGGTGACCGACAACTGCTTGTAACTCCTGCTTTTAGAGGACCCGACACCTCTGGCTTCTGAGGGCACCTGCACTCTCATGCACATATCCATAATTAAAATAAAAATCTTTTAAAAAGGACTGGGGGTGTAAGTACAGTGCTTACCTAGCATACACAGGGAACCCTAAGTTCAGTCCCTAGCACCATATACAGAAAAGAAGATATAAACTTAAAATGTCACATCTTGGGGCTGGAGAGATGGCTCAGTGGTAAAAAACACTGGTGGTTCTTGCAGAAGACCCCGGTTCAAATACCAGCACTCACGTGGCAGCTAACAACTGTAACTCCAGTCCCAGGGGATCCGACAGCCTCTTCTGACCTCTGTGGGCATTGCATGGCAGGGGTACACTTACCTACATTGCAGGCAATACATGCATACACATAAAGTAAAAAAAGTATTAAAAAATATTTTTAAAAAGTCACATCTTAACCCCCTTTCTCCAAGATGGCAGTGAGGTTACCATGGAAGCTAAACAATAGCATGGAACCTCTTGAACCAAACTCCCCAAGACCAGCTTGGAGGCTGGAGGCTGGATTCACCATATCATTCCAGCCTGTGGTGTCTGAAGCTGTTTCACCCTCGCTCCCCAGGATCAACAGTGCATTTCCTCACAGCTTCCCATCCAGGGATGTCATATTGGACACTTGAAATCAGCCTCAGTGGGGTTCTTTATACCATAGGAAGCAGTCATGCTGAGTCCAGACTCTTGCCTTCTAAGCACTGGCAACATAGCACTCTGGCCTTTAACAAGTGCTTGGTGTGTGCTAGGTTTAGTAAAGGTTTGTGGAGAGCGATGAGGCTCATCTTTAATGCGGGATCCTGTTTAGTGCTCCTCTCTTACTCCTGGCCTTTCTTTATAACCTAGGACTCTCTCCAGAACACATTCAAATCCCTGCCCTAGAATTCCTCAAAAGGAAAGTGTTTTCTTTCTTCCTGGGCCAAGGTTTTCTGTCATTTTGTGGAAAGACCTCCACTCCATCTCAGAGAAGAATGGATCTTTTCAATGTTGTACAAGAGACAGCCAGTGGGAGGCGGTAGAGGAGGATTATTATTGATTACTCTGTGTGTATGTGATAAAATACCTGGCTAAAGCAAATTAAGAGAGGAAAGATTTATTTTGGCTCAGGGTTTAGGCAAATACAGTCCATCTTGGCTGGGGAGGCATGGGAGTGGGAGGGGCTTGTGGCTGTGGTATTGGGACTTGCTCCTATCTGGGGATGGGGGAGAAGAGAAAACAAAACAGAAGGGGAGGTTAGAGAACAGGAGAAGGGAGAGGAGAGTGGGGGGGCGGAGGGGAGAGGAAGGAGGGAAGGCAGGAAGGAAAGGGAGGGAAGAAAACAGTTAAAGAAAAAAGAGAGGAGGCTGGTTGGAACCTCAGGCCAAGCAGTAACCATCAGTGCCTGCCTGCCCCATCCCCCCAGCAACCCACTTCAATTCAGCTAGGCTCCGCCTCCTGAAGATTCTATAACCTCCCCAAATAGTTAGTAGCTAAAGATCACATATTTACTAACACTTGAGCCTCAGGGGTGGGGGGAACATGTCACATTCAAACCATAACATTGTCTTTGTAAGAAACACGTTTGACCTTAAACAGCCAGCTGTGGGATGTCATTGAGGACCTTTGATTGGAAAAAGTCATGGAGCAGAAGTCACCAGCAAGTGCTGGTAGGGAACCGATACTGGGAGTGGGGTTGGTGAGGGCCCTCGGTAGTTTGGTGTCAGCATGAAATTGCCCAGAAGAGGGATGACTAAGAGACTAACAAGGAAGACTGGAACAGAAAGTGTGGGACTGGGCTGATGAGCAGTTAACACCATCGAGGTTTGGGGTCTGGGGTTATGGGACCAGCTGAGAACCACAGCTCAGAGAGAGGAAGACCTTGCTGAAAGAACCAGCAGGTGGCATCAGAAGAGCTGAGATCCAAGGCTTTCCCTCTGTGCCAGGACCACACCTCAGGGCTTTCTGGCTCTTCTCTCTAGGTTCCTACTTTGTTGCCCTCCCCAGGTCACTCACCTTTGTGTCTGACTTCTCTGTTCCCTCCAGTGGCTCCAGGTACTTTTGGGCTATGAGGTATGGCTACTTGGAGAGGTTCCACTGCTCTGCCTCCTGCATCTCTCCAGCCTGCTGCCCCATGCCAATCTGCTCTTCCTGGGGAGATGGCTTTGGATGGACTGCAGCACTGGCACTCTTGTCCTGAGTACATCTAAATATCCCTGGGTCTGTTGGAGACCTCTGAGATTTGAACTTGCCTCCCCACTACCCTAAGAGAATACCTGACATCTTGCTGCCAGAGGTTTACCATGTTACTTGCTCAAAACCCTCAAAGGTTCCTCAATGCTCATTGAATTTAAGAACAGGCTCCCCTACAGGTGGTGGTACATAGCTTAGCTTCCCATGTAAGTGAATAGAGATCAGGCTAGCAGGATGGATGGAGAAGCCCCTTCCCCAATGGAACATCCTCTTCTGTCTCCTCCTCTCTGCCCATCAAAGTCCTATCTTAGATACGACCCCAAAGATGCCTCATATAACCCCATCCTATCTAGAGGACTCTGACATGGAGTTGTGACCTCTTCCTGCCCTTGGTCTTCAGCTGGGGCTGACCTGGCTGCACTTCTGATGCCTTCTGCCTAGAACATGCCTCACAAGGTCAGAGGCTATGCTTGATTCACTTGTTTCTCTAGAGACCTCCAGTCTAACATGTTCCCCTTCTGGATGACAGCAGCAATAATTTTTCACATTTAGCAAACTTCTGAGGTCCTGGTGAGTCAAAACATCCAAACTGTAGTGAAGTGGAAAGACACAGAGGTAAATAGTGTTGCTGTTTGGGGAAAGCCTAAGGATCCGCCAGTTCTCTGCAGGGGCACAGATGAGAGTTCCAAGAGAGAAGAGCCTCATGGAATACTCATACTTTAATAGTGTAGAGTGAACAGGAAGTAGGAGAAACTGAAATGTCAGAAGTATAAAGGTAGCAGGTGGAAGTGAGGCTTTTCAGGAGGGGAGGTATCAGTAGGTAAAGCAGGTAAAGCCATTTATAAAATGCCAGGGAGGGCCAGATGTGGTGGTACACACCTTTAATCCCAGCACTCTG